CCTAATATCTACAGGGTTGTCACTACATACGACACGGAGTATTTTTATGGCAAACGATGAGATTTTTTTGGCTAAATTAAAGTTTTGGGTTCGATGAAGGACTATTAATTTAAAATAATTTGAAGATACAGAGTGTCCCAAATAAGTAAAAAAATATCGTTAGTATTTTAAATGGAACACCCTGTAAATTATTACATTTTTACTTTGCTGATTAAAATAAATTGATTAAGATTTATTATACTTAAACCTACTGTTTTTGAAATATTTTCAATTTTGTGAAATTGCAGTGTAATCTCTTTTAGGCTTCATCAAGGGTATCAATGTTTTTTAATACTAAATATTTACTGAAGTTTATTTACTGACTAGTTATTGTGTTACAATAATAAAAATAATACTAATTATACAGAGTGTCTAAAATTTATTTTAAATAATTATTAGCTTCAAACGGCAATAACTTTGTTTAATTTAAATGGAACACCCTGTATGTTTTACGAGAATCAGATGCACAATTTAATTGTTCATCAAATTATATTATATCTTTATATAATTAATAATAAAAAAAAAAAAAAAAAAATGCATTTTCTTGTAATTTAGAACTTATTTATCATTATATCATGGACTATTGACATTTTAGATTATTTTTAAAGATGTACCAAATTTTTAAAGAGCACAGATACTAATATTGTCGATATAATCCGTTTATTCCACAAAACATAAAAACTGTTTAAATATTTAGTTAAAAGAGGACCAATTAATATGATCTTAGTATTCAAACTACATTAACTGACTGTTTGCGTTGATTGACATTGATAATAATTGCTCCAAATACTAAAAACTGAATTTTTGTATGGGCATTGGACAGTGTGGATAAAAGTAACACCTTAAAAATGATATTTCATTTTTTAATAAATGCTTATTTATAACAACAAGTATTTGTTTTGATAACTTATTATTATATTGATTTCTGACTCAAAATCCACATTTATTTATAATAATTTATTAACGAACACAATTAAGTACCTATGTCATTAATTAGTATATGGCGGAAATAATATATTTAATTAATGGTATACTCTTTATAAAGATTTTAAATAGTTTTCTTTTTAGTATTGCCAATGGGCTACAGGTATTATCATTCTGCTAAAACGATAATATTACTAGTCTGTACATTTGTACATTTGTTGCTTTAAAAACAATCTAAATGGATAGTATTCCATGGATATATTGATGTAAATGATATCTAAATTATAAGAAATGCATTTTCTACGAAAACTTGAAGGGATAGGTAAAATGGTATAATACAATTCTGATAGACAATTTAATTGTGCATCTGATTCTCCTAAAATATACAGTGTATATTCCATTTAAATTAAAGAAGTATTGCTGTTTTGAAGCATTAAATATTTAAAATAAATTTTTGGACACTCTGTATAAGGTAGTATTATTTTTATTATTGCAACACAATAACTGATCAATAAATAAACTTCATTAACATTTAGTATTAAAAACATTAGATAAATTTTGGAGAAATGAAGCTTTTAAATTTTTACTGCAATTTCACAAAAATTGAAAATATTTCAAAACGGTAAGGTTTAAGCATAATAAACCTTAATCAAATTTACCTTTATTTTGCACCGTAGAAACTAAAATGTAATAATATACAGGGTAAAATAAAAACACTAAATCACCACAATACACCAAAACACTTTTTTACTTTTACACTGACGCGCGTTTCGCTAACTATAGCATCATCAGCAGATGATTATAAACTCAAAAAAAAAAAAAAAAAAACACAACTTTGATATTTTTTATTTATTTGGGACACAAAAAAAAATAAAAAATATTTTAAATTGTAGCCTATTAGTCCTTCAACGAACCCCCAAACTTGTTAAATTTGTAAAAATCTCATCGTTTGACTACAATACCGTGTCCGTATGTGGTGAACAACCCTGTATACAGACAGAGAAAAAACTTAAAAAAGGAATTTTTAATTTTATTTTTCTAGAAGCTCAAAAGTTTGTGCTTTTAATTACTGAAGTGTATTGCAATTGTATATACCTACACAAGTAAAAAGTTAGACCTAGTGAGTTTTTCCAAAAAAAAGCAACAGTTTAGAATGTTCTTGATATACTTCATATACCTCTTTAAAAATTAAGTATTTTTGTTTATTACAACCTTGTACTCAAGAGCTGCTGAAAGGCTCGTGTTCCTGTAGATTCTCAACTCAAATGTTTTTGCATAAAAAAATATTTTATTTATATTTTCTTAAAAGCGGTGATATGTCCAGAATAAGAGTATTAATGTGTATAGATCTTGTAAAACAGTTAGGTATAAAAAATATCTATACCTATGTGGCGGATTCATCTCCCCAAAAATCTTTTATATTTTTAAAAAAAAAAAAAAAAAAAAAAATCTACAAAATAAATAGTTATTGTAAAACAAAAATAACTATTTTATTTTGTTGGATTTTCTTGCAGTGCAGTGGCGAAATACCCATAAGGGATTTTTTTTGGAGGAATTAGGAATATACTTCGCCGATGAATTTAATATATTACATATATCAATATAAGGACTGAAGATACAGGTATAGAGAGTTTTTACTGTTTTTGTACCGTTTGATGATAAAATAAAACAACATAAATTTCTAAACGACTTGTGTTATTCATTGCACAAAAAATAGTAAAACAAACAAGATATATACAATATGTTACAAAACCTAAATATAAAAATTTGCGAGATCTAGTTATTAGTAAATATGTATACAGGCCAAGATGCTAATAAAAATGATCTTTATATTATATATATCTAGAAGGCATTAAATATTAAAATTAAGAACTATAATAAATAAAAAGAAATAAAAAAAAAAAAAAAAAAAAAAAAAAAAAAAAAAAAAAAAAAAAAAAACTTATAATAAAAATTTTGAGGAAAAAAGTTACTAAAAAAAATAATTTTTAATATTCTTTATATATAAGTACTAAATTATAAATACTGACTTGTTCATTATAAAATATATAGTAATCAACTTATTCAAGGTTATTGTAAATCTTATATCAACCACAAAAAATATATTAAAAAGTTGTTTTTCAATGAGGATGGCGAGAATCTGTAAAATTGTATTATATAGATACTAGTACATGCGGTACCCATTTGGTAAAAAATGTACATGTACTGCCAAACAGCATTTTACCGCTGACTGCCAATGACTGCAAAGAAGATTGCCAATGACCAATGACTCCCGTATAATTATAGTCGACTGCCTTAAGGCTGATGCCAAAGACTACCAGCGACGGCCAAGACAATGTATGTACATGTAATTATTCCAACAGTGAGACGCTCCTTTCGAGTACCTACACTAAAATAATCACATACATCATAATTTCATTTTTGGTCACTTCCCATTTTACCAGAAATTACTACAACTTTTGATTTTTAAATGGCACCTTCGGTATATTTTTAATCTATTTGATAGAAAATTATATTCTGAATAGAATGACATAATATCATATCACTTTAACATTTTATCGCTTAAAAAATCGTATTTTAAATTTCAATATAGAGTGCCATGGATGTGTGTTAAAAACATCAATTTTTAATCATGAGCATTGGAAAAATAGATTCATCGTTCAACATGTTTTCTTCTGGGCCGGTTAAAAGATGCCCAAATCATATTTTATAATCTATCTCAATTTTTTCAAATGGAACAAGGGTGGCATTAGCATATTTGAAAAAGTATTTTTATGAATAACGGTACCACACACATGGTATTTCGAGTTTGAGAAATTGACATAATATGTCATTCTATTCAGAGTGTCATTTTCATCGAATAATGTAAAACATACCGAGGGTATCGTTTAAAATCAAAATTGTAGTCATTTCCGGTGAAACAGGAAGTGACCAAAACAATTGAATACGTCAATCAATCCTAATATATTTCATATATTACCCTGCCAAAGACATCTTTATATCTGAGAAATGTGGGTCGGTTATAGGTGAGCCACTTTGAGCCTCACCTCGGTATAGGTATTATAAAAATTGTGTTGAAATGTACAGCTTGTTATACAGAAATGTTGAACAAATATAAAGACAATAGTATAGTAAAGCAGTATAAGAGTATATCTGTAGTCAATTCGGATAGTAGTGAAGAACGAAAAAATATTTACAAAAATGCAAGACAAAGTTTCCTTAAACAGTGTCAACAAAAGTGTAGTAATTTATTTTATTTTCCAAAATGTGTACGGTGAAACCTCTATAAATGCATCTACATAAGCATGTTAAATATTATATTTCATGTGGAGACAATATGTGAATTGTTAATAGGTAAGAATATTGTACAAACATAAAAAACTTTTTTTAAAAAAAAAAAAAAAAAAAAAAGTTATATATTTATAATTTCACAAACAATAATATATCTATATTTTTATTTTAGTTTCATATATCTTTCAATACAAATGTTTAATAAAATATTCTAATAGAATAATGAAACTCGTGTAATAATTCTAAAATATACTTTTTTTCTTACTACAAAAATACAAAATGATAAGTAACATGACGAGTAAAAATGTATACATATTGTTAACATTATTTAATTTTAACTCATTTCTTTATTTCTGACTTAAAATGTTTTCAAGAAAAGCATTTTAGCAAGGGGTGTATCACTTGGTTAAAAAATGTAGGTGCATGTACTGCCAAAGTATCATTTTACTGCCAAGTGACTGCCATTGACTGCGAAGAAGACTGCCTACGTCTGCCATATAATTATAGCCGACTGATGCCACCGACTGCCGTTTATTTAGTACCAAAAAATGCGCAATTCCAACAGTGAGACGCCCCTCGCATTTAGTAATCTCTGATACATGTACACATGCATATCACAAAACATTGTTTCTCTGATATACTAAATCAAATAGAAAATTACCATTGCGGAAATAGTGAAAAAAATAAAATTCAAAAACGGAGAGTCTATAGAATCAAATCAATTCATTAGAGTATTGAATATTTTTATGGATATTTTTCTCAAATCACTTGATATTCCTTCCTATTTCTAATAGTCCCTGTGCTTTTGACCTAATCGTCAGCTGTCACTGAATGTGGAAAACTTTGGTAATTATTTCGGGAATCTATCAAGTAGATTATTATTTTAGTTTTGGTTATTTCCGACTGACTACAGAAACATATTTAGTGAGTGTGTATAAAGTAGAGTAATATCCGATTAATCTAGTGCAGAAAAAATAGTCGACAAAAGTGAGCATTTTGTTCCTTTGTGTATAGCGTCTTTCTTTGGTATCATACTAAATAACAAAAAAACACCTAATTCTAATATTGCTAATTTTGATATAGTACATCTCAATTCTGTTCCCGACTTTCCGATGCTACGTCATCATCTTGCTGACTTAAACTACCAAAAAGCGACGGATGGTAATAATTAAAGTAAGGAAACAATTGTACTTGACTAGAGTATTGCTGACATAAACTCAGCATCGACTCCTGTAACATTTTAGGGTATTTCTGTCCCATAGATTTATTGAGCTGATCGTATACAAAGAACTCGTTCTTTCCAGCTTCTGGAAAGTAGCTAGGTTTTTGATATAGAGCTGGCTTTTGTTGAAGGAAGATAGGAATGTCGTCTTTAACTAATACTTTGACTGCCACCTTCCTGGCGTTGGAGTTGAGTAAGTTAGATTCTTGCATTTGGAGCTGTTTCCGCTTGGTCTTGTATCGTCGGTTCTGGTACCATATTTTAACCTGCAAAAAATATAATTTGTTAATTTCCTAAATGTATTTATTTTCATTAATATAAGATAATAATAAAGGAAATGTAAAATATTTAATACTCTCTATACAAGTCCTTCGGGGTTATTTATCCTAGAAAAACTTATCTTGGTCGAAAGCAATAGAAAAATGAAATGCTATAACCATAAATGCAACTGATACCAAATGAATTTCAAATTTATCTTAATTTAAGTTACATAACCTTTCGGTCAGTCAGACTGACTGCCAAGTTAGACCAATATCAACCGCCAGAGCAAACCGGATTCAGATCAAGTTAAAATTAAATTGTTCAAATGTCATATAATAATGGCGGTAGCTGTCATGGAAGTGAGCGATTAAAAAATTATCATAAATATTTTTTTTTTCAAATGGAAACTCTCTTTTTTTATTTCACTAGTGAAAAGATTTTTCAATTCGTTACTTTTTAACTATATATGTTCGTCTACCTAAAATAAATCGTTTTTAAATTATTTAAGATTCAGTTTGAAAACGTATATTTTTCTTGATTTTATTTAGCTGCCTTTGACATTAAGTGTCAAACAGTCAATTTATTTCCATCTGTCAGAAAACGAATTATTTGAATTTCCTATATTATAAATATTGCCTGCCTTAAGAGTGCCCAAGTAGCAATAGTAATTTAAAAAGTGCCCAAGTAGCAAAAAGAAATTCTAAAAGGATTGAACTATTTTATAACAGTCGAATAGCGTTGTCTTAAGGACTGCTTGATTTTATTAAGCGTTGGTTTCGACCATTCTGTTTTTTAATAAAATTTGTCATATTAAACTATTTTCTAGTGGTTTTTATAACGTATCCTATAACGCATTAAACGATCATTTCTTTTAGTATGATGTAACACTTAATAAGACAATGCTATATGATAACAAACACATTATTTTATTAGACTCTTATACCCACCATGTAAGAGTTCTATAATATTCATATAACTAGTAGTCACAAGATCATATAACAGTTACTTAAACTTGTCTTATTAAAGTTGTATTACGTTGTATGATGGAATGTTTAATTGCGTTAAACTACGGTGCTGTATACAACACCAGTTATATAGCCTTATATGATAATATAAGGCTATATAACTGGTGTTGTTGTTATATAATAAATTGTGATTAACAAAATAAATTCGCTGTAATATCTACATTATAAAACTGGTAATGTATAATATAACTTCATTTTAAATTAAATGGTATACCTAGTTATTTATTTTGTTATTGTTGTTGTTGCAAAAGTAATATCTACGTACGAGTATAATCAATCACAGCTATTATGAATTCTGGACAAAGTTGGTAAAAAGTTAACAAACGCAGTGGTAGTTATAAAGAGCATGTAAGAAAAACTCCTCGAAATTACGGCAAATAATCCGAGAATTCCCTGACTTCTCAAAAGCCAAAATCTCGTGTTGTCTGGCTTCTTCAAAGCATTGTTGCCACGTTGATGTAAAAGTTTTACTGTAGTAATGTTTGTATTGTTTTATTGTTGTTTTTCCAAATCCTTAGGTTGCCGCTCACTCGTCGGGCACGCATGAAATGCATTGCGTGCATGAATCCATGAAAATCTGATCATGTTTGTTACCTTAAATACTAATCAAATGAGATTTGGCAACATCTATTTGTCACAAATCTCAATATGTCCAAAATAGTTCTATAGTGCCTGGAAATTCTGCGTAATGATAGATATTTATCCTATACCGTTTTATTTTACAACAAAGACTTATTTAAGGGATTCATTTATAATAAAATGGTTGCATTATAATTCGCCATGTTTAAGGCAGCATTTTTGTATGGCCTATGGCCGCCATTATATGAAGCAAAATTAAAAACATCAAAATAAATTGTAAAATGTTATTTTTGAGCAATTTTTGAACTATTCAGTGATAAGATTCCCACATACAGTAATAAAGTGTTTACTTAAATTAAAAATAAGAATTTTTGAAAATTTTATTTTATTTTATTGTTTAAATTTATATGTAAACCTTAATCGAAATTAAAGCGCTTTAATTTTTTGCCAAATACATACCTATAATCTACCAGTAAAATTTTCGGCGCAACAAAAATTGTCCCTACTTTTCAAACCCTATTAATGATTTTTCATATTACATATTTGTTGTACCTTCTGGCTCTACCCGCCATTTTCATTGTCGAGTAAAGTCTCCTTTTTAACAACCCACATCCTCTAGATTCATTTTACGACACGCTTAAAATATAATTTGCTCCTAATATTCTTCGGTAAAAATAAAATACTCTTGTACCTCGCTAAATGATCAAATGTTTTTATTGTTCTGTTTCTTAGATGTGACCACTAATACACAATAAAACTAGTTTTATAATAGTCATATAACGCTGTGTAAAATAGTTGCATAAGAGTTGTATACCTTTTTATAGAACTTCTATACTACTAAACGGTTGTATAAAATGGGCCTTTTTGGTTGTAAAGCTATCATATTACGGTCATATAGCACGTTATATGAATTGAGGTATCCTATAAAAATTATCACATAGCTGTTTATACAGCCTTTATAAAATAAAATTTGCTACTTGGGTGTATTTATAAAAATAAATATCGTATTTTCTCTCTTTAGTGATATCTAATAGTTATTAATAGATATTAATTATTAATAATAACCGTATGATCGAAAAAAAAACGGTGCAAAATTGGCTTGGAAATGATGATCGATCACATACTGCTTTTTGAACAAAGTGTCACAATATGACATGGCCAGATCAATTGTTTTCAATATCACTTGACGTTCATGGTCGTAGGCTACTCTTTAAAATGAAGAAAAATATACGCTATAAAACTAAATCTTAAATAACTTAAAAACGATTTATTTTAGATATAGGAACATGTATAGTCAAAAAGTTGACGAAACGAATTGAACAGCCTTTTCCCTAGTCAAATAAAAAAGTGGGTTTCCATTTGAAAAAAATGATTTACCTATATGATCATTTTTTAATCGCTCAATTCCATGACAGCTTCGGCCATGCATTATATGACATTCGAACAATTTAATTTTTGAAATGGATAGCCACATGTCTTCTCTTTATAGCACAGTGGCTGTGGTAATCACTAAAATTGATGTTTAGACTGTTTAGACTATACACATATTTTCGCCAGGCAGTTTTTTTCGTCCAAAAATTTTAAATATTTTTTTTCTCAAAAACGGTTAATGTCAGGTATTGAGTGTTTAATATAAAAATTCATAAAAATTTACAGAGAATTTAAGTATATAATAAAAAATGGTGACACCCATTTAAAATAAAAAAGTTGCTATATTGAAAATATTTTTAATCGATAGATCTCGTTGTAAAACAATGATGTGCAAAAAATCTCCGATCTAGATATTGTAGTTGTCTAGAAACTTCTAATGTACGCTCAGTCTGGGACACCCTGTGTATTAACCAATATCAAATAGAAGAAACAACTGCTTATAAGTACATGGGACCGAAATACGTGTAAGCCGCGATAACCAAACTTGCAAGCTCAACAGACGAATAGGACTGACTTGGGCCGCCTATGGACGATTGAAATACATTTTCAAAGGGGCACTTCCGATATGTTTGAACAGAAAGGTATTCAGTGCGAACTACCTGTTAGAACGTATGGTGCGGAGACCCTAACATTAACCAAGAAAAACAGTAAGCAAAATCAGAATAACGCAAAGAGCAATAGAAAGATGTTGGAGCTATCTCTGAGAGACAAAGTACCGAATATCGAAGTACGGGGGGTGGGGGGAGACAGAACAAAAGCCATGGATGCCATGGAAAAAATAAGTACCTACTTTGAAATGGAATTTGGCAGGGCATATTGCAAGGCTAAACGATTACCGATGGACGAAGAAAATAATAGAATGGAGACCACGACATGACGCATTCAGGAGTACAGGCCGTCCTCCAACCAACTGTAAGTAACAAAACAAAGTAAATGGATGCAAATAGCTCAAGATGGGGAGTTACGGAAGCAAACGAGAGAGGTCTGCGTCCAGCCGTGGACTTTAGTGGCTGGTTAATGATGATGATGATGACGATGAACCTTTTGGTCAGTGTATTACCGGCCGTTTTACTGAGCTGATATATTAGAGCATTCTATTCACCCGTGAAAAAGTTGGATGCAGTCAAGCGCGAGACATGGCAGCATCGGCGGTCCATTTGATAAATGGTGGCCAGATTGTGTAAATTTTCATACTTGAATTACTAAAGTTGTTTTTGTTTGATAGAAAAGCGGCTTTTATAAATTTACATTTTTCCAAGGTTCCCTGTGGACAACCCGCCTGATCTTTTCTGATATTTTACATATGAAATAGCCAAGAGAAAGAGAGCATTTTCCTCAGGGTGGTGTGCCAAACGGTCAGTTTTATAATTTGATATAATTTTGTCCAGGGATGTCTCAGAAAAACCATAACGAAGTAAATCCGTTTTAATATTATTTAGTTCAGCATTAAATGATGATTAGTCATTGCATACTTATGGTGTTAGTTCGATGATATAAACTATTTCTTAGTTATATGAGAATGGTCTGATTAAAAACTTAAATACCGCCACGTATGTGTTGATTAGTGGCAATAGATGTCCAATTTCTACTCATTAGAACATCTAAATACGGAAAGTAGAAATAATCTCAACTCAAACATGACTCATATGCATGGAACAACAGACAAAAGATCAGGCGAATAGCCAAACAAAACCGGAAACATCGAAAAAAGAGAAAGAGTGATCTATCCATAGTGACGTAGCGAGGAAGTCGCGGGCTCGTGTTCAAAATTCTTTTGGGTTCCTTGGGCTATATTTTTTTATATCTTAATAATAAAGAGAAACATCTTATATTATTATTATATATATTTGTTTCAAATAAAAGCAATTGCTATATTTCTAACATAAAACATAAAGTAGGTAAAAAAATAATACAAACATTATTTTGGAAATTTTTCTAATATGTCTTCAAGATATTTGTTCTGAATACGGTGAATAAGTTCTGATCTGTGCTTCCTATTGCAATTCTACATCGAAATAGTTGGAAAGTACATATTTCTCTAAAATTTTAAAGTTAGTTTCCGCATCCTATAAACTAGAAAATCTGTTGAATTAACTTATATCCAAATTTTTGTAAAATACATTAATTCGAAAAAATGCCCATTTGTTTCGAGGACATTTTGATTTATTTTTCATCAAAATATAGTTTTCATCGTTTAATCCGTTTAATCTTATCTTTTACTAATAAATCGTGCTGTAAATAATTCAAGATTTTCGGTATTATTTTTTAATTACGTTTCAAAATAAAAATATGGCATAAAACAGAACAGAGCAAACAAACAAAGCTGGCTCTGTATCCATCATGACAGTTATTATGAACAATTTGCAAAAAAAGCACTACAAATAATTCCACTATTTTTATAATCTTAGAAATATTCAGAATACACTCAAGATAATTCATACTTTTAACTGAAATATATTCTTTATTTGACAGTCAACTTACGACTTAAAAAAGCTAATAACTAATAAACGTGCTTACATTTAGTATTTATAGATTTGTATTCAGTTAAGATAAAAAATGAAAATAAAAAAATATCACTTTTGGCCAGGTTTATAAACCAAATACACCTATGTGCGGCCCCGGCGAGGCGGGCGCGGCGTTTGAATATGGTTTGGTTAGGTTAGGTTAGGTTAGTTAATCAGGTAAATTTCCTCTTAATTATCTACTTCCGAATCCTTCTCGCATCTCCGAAATAGCCATATACAATACACGTGATGCATATACGCAAAGTTACTCATCTGTGTATTGTTATATGGCTTTTTAGGAGGTGCGAGATGCGAGCGATATTTGAAGATGCGAGTGGTCAAGAATAGGTCCCCAGAGACGGCGCTGGTTGCCGGAAAGCAGAAACCTGCCTCCACTATGTTCGTACCCTTACTCAGAAGCCGAAGACTCAGGATCGGACTCGGAGGAGATCTTCCTCTTATTTTTTTTGCTAAATAATGTTTCTGTTTTTTGAAATGATAATTTAAGTTTGATTTTCAATATTTTTTTTTACATTTATTTTGTTTAAAAACTTGAAACCAAAGTTATTTTTATATTATAAGAAGAAAAATTTTATTTGATTTTGACTATTGACCCCACAAGAATGTATAATTTGATAATTTATGTTTATTTGTGCTTCTATAAATATAATTTGTGGTTTTTCAATTTTTCCGTTTTTTTTTCCAAGGTATGTAAAAAAACGGTAAAAAACCGTTTTTATTTTCAATTTTTCCCGAAGCGTTAAATCTCTAGTCTGGACACGGTATAATAAATCTCAACTCACCTGCGTCTCAGTCAACTTCAACGCGGCCGCCAAGTCGGCCCGTTCCGGCCCGCTCAGATACCGCTGCTGGCTGAAGCGGCGCTCCAGCTCGAACACCTGCGCGTGCGTGAACGCCGCCCGCGACCTCTTCTTTCGTCCGGCGCCTCCGGAGTCGCGCCCGGACTCGTCCGAGGCCGCGGCGGTGCAGCGATTGGTTGAGGCCGCGGGAGGTGGTGAAGAGTAGCTTGGTGGCGAAGGCGAGCGGGGGCTGGTAGACGGCGAGTCTGGAATGAACAGTGGAGGGGGTGAATGAGAGTGTGGCATAGAGTAACTAAAAGAAGAGTGTGTTTGAAAGATTGTCAAACTTGACCCATAGACAGGGTTGCCACAAGCTACACAATTGTGTAGAGGGTATCCCACTAAGAATAGCTCTCGGCTGTATCTCGGAAAGTATTAGTCGTAGAGCTTGCGGAAAAAAATATTTATAACTAAAGTGAGCATGAGAAATTGCTGGAAATTATTTTCAAGTTTGTAGAGCGGCCGCTAGAGAGCGGAACTGATATTAAAAATAAGAAAAAGGAGTTTTTACACAATTTTGCCTAGATAACGGATACTATAAATAATAGATTCATAATCTTCAGTAAATTTTGCATATTTTTTATTAGAACCATTTTCCCCCTATCTGCTAAAATAAAGTGGTGGGAAGGTTAGATCTGTTTTATTTAAGCATTAATAACTCCGGACTGATGAACGGAATCTAACAACAGGGGCTCGTTTAAAGAGCGTTTCTTACTCTATATTATAGCGTATAAACAATAATAATAAGCTGTTGAATGTAGACGCTAGGGGGCGCTGTCTTACAATTTAACAAACATTGCGCGTTTTTTCAAAAAAATTAAATGCGATAGTTTATATAATTTTAGCTGATAGTAAAGAGTAATAAAAGTTTAAAAAGTCAGCGAAAACCGCATCTTGATATCCTCTTTCAAACCGAAGATATTAGCAAAATTATAATAAATACGAAAAAATAAGCCCATAATTACCTTATTTTTTTTTAATACGGTTACAGTAGCCCTCTTGATTATGACCATTCTAATAAAAAATAAGATAGAAACGATTAGTTTATTCTAAAATCAACAATATACCAGAATACGATAATACCAGATGTATTAATATCTAATAATTAAGATATCAATGATAGTGAATAAGAAAGGACGCCTCAGTGAAGTCATGGTAGGCTTTGGAAAAAAGATGTTTTTGACGTAATAGTATAAACGTCAAAGAGTTATTAAATCAACATTTTGATAGCCTTGGCAGCGTTTTTTCTCTTTTGAAGAAAGGCATTTTTAGAAAAGCAATCAGAAGATAAAAAACGCTGTTGAGACAATCAAATTGTTGATATAATAATATTTTGAGATTTTCAGTTTAAACTATCTCTTTAAAAGCAACTTTTTTCCAAAGCTTACCATGAATTCTCTGAGGCGTCGTTTCTTAGTCACCTCTCATTGATATCTTAATTATTAGATGTTAATACACTTACTATATTATGGTATTCTGGTACATTGTCGATTTTTTGAATGAAATAATCTTTCCTATCTTATTTTTTATTAGAAAGGCCATAATCAAGAGGGCTAGGGAGGCTGTGTTAGAAAGATAAGGTAGTTAAGGGCCTATTTTTTCGTATTTATTATAATTTTGCTAAAAACTTTGGTTTGAAAAAAGATATCATGATGCGGTTTTCGCTGAATTTTTAAACTTTTAGTACTCTTTATTAGCTAAAATTACATATACTATCGCATTTAATTTTTTTGAAAAAACGCGCAATTTTTATTAAATTGTAAGACAGCGCCCCCTAGCGTCTACATTCAACAGCTTAATATTACTGTTTATATGGTATAATATCGAGTAAGAAACGCTCTTTTAAACGAGCCCCCACTTATTGGATTCTGATCAACCAGTCCGGAGTTATTAACATTTAAATATAAACAGATCTAAGCTTCCCCCACCACTTTATTTTGGCAGATAGGGGAAAATGGTTCTAACAAAAAATATGCAAAATTTACTGAAGATTATGAATCTATTATTTATAGTATCCGTTATCTAGGCAAAATTGTGTAAAAACTCCTTTTTCTTATTTTTAATAGCAGTTGCACCCTCTAGCGGCCGCTCTACAAACTAGAAAATAATTTCCAGCAATTTCTCATGCTCTGTTTAGTTATAAATATTTTTTTCCGCAAGCTCTACGACTAATACTTTCCGAGATACAGCCGAGAGCTATTCTTATTGGGACACCCGGTACTTACACATTGGCTTCAATGATTGCACAGCTACACCACAATCCCCTGAGCTACACATTTTGAGAATTTACATATTTCGTACAAAAAATAACAGCAGAACAGTAAATCAGCTGAAGTTATCTAAAAAGTTAGTACATAAAAAGTTATGTAAAAGTTAGTACATAAAAAGAAGCCGCAATGTTAACGTATACTTTAAAATTTGAACTAAGAAATATCATGTTCCATAATCAGTATTCAAGTGTTCAGTAAAATGTCAGAGTATGCACTGGGTCGTGAGTCAATGGTCAATAGACAATAGCCAAAAACGGTAAATAGACAGGATTGCTTAATTCTTTAAATAATACATAATACGTACTTTGGCCGAATTTCACTGCTCAATTACGTCACTTTAGTTCACAGTCTCACTTCCACTCGTCTGCATAGGTGAATATTATTCAATTCCTATTTCAGCATGGACTGCAGTTTCTATGGACAAATTTGGCCGATTAAACAGTCCTGAATAGTTTACAGTTTTTAGTTAACCGATCTAATTTGTCCATAAAATCGTTAGTTTCGCGGCATCAATTTTAACGTCACTGCAATCCTTGCTGGCATGACAGGAAATAAAATGGGAAATGACTAAATTGGCGTATACAAACGAGTGGAGGTGAGACTCTTAATCATGCTTTAAAATTTGGCGAACATACGTCTTATTCCATAGTTTACATTTATTGGTCTTGGATACTACACAATACCAAACATGTTTATGGTCCAGTTCTGCACAATCAAAATTGTTGTTGTGGTAATCCTGCCCATAGATAAATGAAACAAGTTTAGATTGGAAAGTGCCCATAAGGACAATGTAAATACTAAATACTATCTGGCGCTTTTGTTATAACTAGCTTTTTCCGGAATAATGTCGCCAAATATATTATTCTTTTAATTTTATATATTATTCTTTTAATTTTATAAATAAACCACAGTGTGTTGCATATAAGAAAGTCAATTTTAAATAAAGCCATGATGGTTTTTGCAGTTCACAGTTCCCACAGCTTTTTAAGTTTTTAACGCCACTTTTTCACAATTATTACTGGTTTGAGTAAATAAAACTTAAATTACAGTCACAAGATAGCAATAATTGCTTTGAAAATGGACGCTTTAAACACTTTTTGGTATTTTTACAATGAGGGCGGTTTAAATTATAAAATTTTTCGAAAATTATAAAGATTTTATAATTTTTGAAGATTCTAACTTTGACAAGAGAAAATTCTTTCTGTTCTTGTTTGCGGTTGTTCTTAGCAACCGCTATAGCAGCGCCAGATCCCGTACAACGTATGCGCCCCAAAACAATTATACGTTTAGCTTTAGCGGAAAGCCGAGCATTTCAATCTAAAGTTATTTCCTTTATCTATGACTTGACCATAATGTTGCATAGTTCTGTTAGGGCTCCAGAGTGGCGTTACCTGCTACTTGCTACCTGTCAGATCTCATGAGAAGATTGACAAGTGACGTGACAGCAAATTATTTAAACTTTGTTTTGTGCGTAGAGAACCTATGGAGAAAGTTATATCAGAGACCTTATACTTGCTTATTACGTGATTGGTAAAATGGATTGATTAAATAAAATCATGTAAAATACTATGAAGCCGATGATGTGATTTAAATACGATCCAGGAAAGTGTACCAAGCAAAGCAAATTTGATATAGAAAATCATTTCCCATCTCTTCATTTAGAAACTCTAATTCAAATAAAAATATTGAAAAAACCATAATTTCTTCTTTAATCACGATTTTTAAATTCCACTGGTAAAAGTAATAATAACTGACTAAAATATATTCATCATTAAGTAGAGGAAATTTCCATTTCGTACCACCTGAAGTGGTAAGTACCTGTGACGTTCTTCAACGAACAGACATTAGCGTAATACTTATACCAAAAATAAAACACTAAACGTAACTTAAACTATGTTTTTAATATGATATCGAATAAGCTGTAGAGTGAATTGCCCTCTTCAAGCCAATATATGCACTTCACATGTTAAGAAAAAGTACTACATAAATAAAGTAACGAGAAAGAAAACACATTTAAAGCCTTTTCATTTAAATTATTTGTGCAAAATAACATGTGCGATATTTCATTGAATAAAGTGATAGGGAGTACACGAAAAAGTTCCTATATAATTATTCTAAAAGTGTTGGGAAGTGTAATTTATAAAAATTGTAAAAAAATTAAAAGGTATATATTTTGATATTTCCAAAAGGTCTATAACTATTATAATTTATTACTCAAACTAATAAAACTTTTTAGGTGAATTCAATTACGGTAGCGAGCATAGTTTTAAGCAACGGTTTTGCTAGTGGGAATATAACTGGGGCTATTTAGGCTATAACGAATTTTTTTAAACGTACATAATTATAATTTTAGAAAATGTTCATAAAAAAATTAAGCACTGGTTGGTTAAAAAAAAATGAAAACCGTTATAATATTGATCAAATTATATTTTATCCCCTCATAGTAAAAACCTATTTAATTTTTTGATTATCTAATAGGAATAGGCAAGCTATAAAATATGTTCCAGGAGAATGTTATTGAATGTTATTACTTTTCCTATCTTATGAAATCGCACCCATCAACCACTCAATTACGCCCTACTTTACGTAATAACATTTTTTCGGTAATTTTATTAACATTTGATATTGTTAGAAGTTACAACACAACGCGATGCCCAGTTCGGGTTCTTTTTCACTTAAATTGGAAATTCGTACCTGAGAAGTATAGAATTTTAATAACTGCACTAGTAAAAACCAAAATATTTAAATATTGTGATTTTATCACAATATTGAGATCTTGATTTCAATATTATTTAAATTAAATAAAGTGGGCGAACAGTTGTGATTTCTGCCATATGGGGCGCTGCTGTCGGAATTTAAAAACATTGGTTGAAATGCATCAAGCCTATATGTACATATATGACACCTCATATAACAAATAGTGACCTCTGTCTATA